TAATATGTGGTGCCTCAGACCACCGGCCCACCTGTGTCAACTGGGACTTCAGCTCTTCACTGAGAGAGGTATCATATTGGTGAATGAGATTGTTTCATAATATCCATATGTATTTAAATTAACTGAAAATATTTCTGCTGGTCATATTCTTACTTGTAGTAAACTCAAGAGTTTTGAAACAGTCAGTTGGGATTAATGCTCCTTTGAACACTTTCATTTGTAATAAGGCATGTTAGCTACATACCTGAGCAAGTGAGCGAGTTCAGTTTTACGCCACTTTTTAGCAATATTCCAGCAATATCACGGCGGGAGACACCAGAAATGGGCTTCACACATTGTGCCCATGTGGGGAATAGAACCCGGGTCTTCGGCATGATCAGCAAGGGCTTTAACCACAAGGCTACCCCACCGCCCCGCTACATACCTGACTTGACGAAAGCCTGATGTAATGCATGTTTTAATGTTTATCACTTTAAGACACAGGATTAAAACCAGCGGTTGCCAAAGAACCACAACTCTACAAACAAATCGCAGTGGCGCAAGTGGAAGAGCGAAGAAGTAGTTTTTACACAACGACAATATTCCAGCAATATCACGGTGGAACACCTCAAATGCCACTGGAAGAGCGAGTTCAGATGACCATAAGTGAGTTTTTCACACAACGTTTAGCAATAATTCCAGCAAGTAAAACAGATGTTTTTCATAATCTTGGTTAGGACACCTCAAATGGAATGAGTTAGTACAATTGTACCCATCATGTGGTAAATTGTCCAAGACAACAAGTGTCTTCATAATCATGATAATAATGGTAAATTAGAACCCACCCTGCAACAAAATTTTAGACCACTTGATCATATTAGCCAGTGAGTGAGTTTAGTTTTATCTGCCGCTTTAGCAATATTCCAGCAACAACACGTGGGCTTCACACATTGTATGTGGGGAATTGTACCCGGTTTCAATGCCTAATACCCCACCTTCCTCTTGATCGTAAAATCATACAGGACAGCCATCTCTCACACAGAGGAGCTATATGGCCTTTGTTCCAATCAAGTACAATATAAGATTATTTTGAGTGGCATTTTATTGGGTCCTGTGAATATATGGATATACAACCCCTTCTTCATACAGATTCTTGTATTTAAGCTAAATGAACAACTGAATGTCACAACAAAAGAAAACATAATTAACATAATGTTGTTACTTTGTTACATTCACCAACGTTAATGTGAAATAAGTTGTTATCCATAAAGTTTGTTCTATATTATAAGATTAACATCTTGGGTAAAAATCAACCACTGAGACTGAGAAACAAAATCTCATTCATTGCCTCTATGTTATTTAGTTTGACTGGAGTATATCTATACAAAGAATTCAAAATTCAGAAACGTGTGACCTATAGTGGTGGTCCGATTAATTGAAATAATTGAAGATTGGTCACAGTGACTAAACGACCAAGCAATCGAACATGTTTTCTCGTGATCGAACCCGACCAATCTTGGAACACTTGTTTGCATTAACAATATTTTTCACAAGGCTGGTTTTGTCTGTGTCATTAAATTTACATTTCATAAGCACTACAAGCTCGTTCCAAGTCATGATTAAATTTATCTTAAAGAATCCAGGAAATATGTGTTCCTAACATACTAATCATCATTTAAATATGCAAAATTTGCAAATGGACTTTATGCAATTTGCAAAAAAACCAAATTACTACATGTTTTTGCTTTATTATTTTGTGTCCATTAACAAAAATAACAGGAATATTTGATAAATGATGCTAACCAATTATTTTCGATGATTGATCAGTTGTAATAGACCAATCATCAATTATTAGATTTTAACCGATTCCCAACACTAGTGACCTACAAGGGCTGGTTTGAAAAAGTGGATTAACCGAATGCCCCCACATAGTCATCACAAGATTAACAAATGTAACCATATTAAGATAGACCTACCAATATTCTGACTCCAGCAAACTGTTGCACATTTCAGTGTCATTCATTGATTTTTTGCATGTCATTGTCAACATAGCCACTGTATCCAGTCAAAGGGAGACAACTGGGACAGATGTCAAAAACAATTGCTGTCAGATGGACTGAGACAAAGAAATTGATGAATCTTACAAAACTAGCACAATGCACACATATAATGTGATAAATAGAACAATATTTTGCCACAAAAGATTATCCCATAGCTGTGTTTAATGTAAAGGTAAGAAATATGTTGTCATCAGTAAATTTGTTTGCTGCAAATTAACATCTAAAATGTCAATCAAAGAATCTTTACAAAGTCTGCTCATGAAGAGTATGAGAGCTCGCAGGAACCAGAAATTGTTACATGGATTTATGTGGAATTTCAAACTAAGTGCACCGTCAGAAACACTGTGGAGAAAAATAATTTCAGAGGCATTTTATTCTTGGTTTGGTTGTAAATGGAATACAAGCTAATTCTATGAAGGCTTAACATTAGTAAAGAAAATATTAAAATGAACAGGATAAATTAGGGATTATTTGATTTGGAGATTTGCAAACATTTGGCTGAATAGCTACCTCTGAGCTGATCAAGATAAATTCTTGTGTTAGAATTCACATGTGCAGATTCTGCAATATGTGGACATGACAAGGATATTGTCCTTCACATGTCACGGTGACCTCGTCTTTATGCAGCTTTTTGACGGGTCAAGATCCTTAACTGTCGTGGAAATCAGTTGGAGCATTTCATATGTGTTTTGAGACATTTTATGCCTTTTTATATCAGTAATATATAAACTCACCCAAAGAATATATTTAAAACATACTCATGATAACCGATAACTGTATTTATTTCACTTTTAAAGAAAAATAGCTCAAATCTCCATAAGAAAAAGTGTTTTAGGAATCTCACCATTACATGAACATGATGAAGTAAATTAGTTTCACTGATCAAGTCTAGAGCTCATAGGTTAAATTATGTTACAAAATCTCATCAGAATTTCAAATGCCTCAGGAATACATAACGCTGGCACAACATCAAAACTTGACAACTTTTATTAGACTATTTTTATGGTGTAAAAGTTCATATAATGGCGCAAATATGTTCAAACAATACACACCGTAACTTCAGTATACTATACTGTGTCAGTCTAAGATTGATATAAATGAATTAGTAACCATGGTTACCTCCCAGAAGGACTTCTTACAAGTAGGAATCAGGTGCTGATTGAAATAGTATGAAGAAGAAACATTCATCTTGTTCCTTTCGGCAAAGATAAGTCCTGGACAGGTAATGAGATGTTCGATGAACATGAACACAAAGCATTGATGAATAATGAACCTGTAATCGACAGGAATTCCATGTCTTCAAGGGTGAGTGAGTGTGGTTTGATGCCACTTTTCGGAATATTCCAGCAATATTGCAGTTGGGGAAACCAGAAATTGGCTTCACACATTTTACATATGTGGAGAACCTGACCTGTGCCAGTGGAGTGATTAGCAACCACTTTACCCTCTCAGCTACCTACCACTCACTTCAAGGAGGAGAATGGTAAGGCAGCGATGTCTCAACCAGTGAATTCTCTGGACCACACAGCCCAGAGGTTGATATTATGAGCAACATTAAAAAAAATTAAAATCTGAGTCCACCAAGTAACCTTGCTTCTAATGACCAGCATTGGGGACCGCTGGATGTATCTAACCCCATGATGTTTATGTACATTATTTTCACAAATGTTTTCAAACTGACAATAAAACAAATGTACAAAATCACCTGTTCTGCTTTAAATAATTTTCACAGTTTCAGCATATTGTGAAAGCCTGAGTGATACAGGTCAGTAATGTTTACCACCTTGGTGAAACCCATAAGTGCTGTTTGGTGTTAACTGCCTTAGAAACACAACTGAGCCAGGCTGGGATCGGAAACCATGGTCACCAGCAGAGGACGTAACGTGGACATGTACCCTGACATGCCTCAGATGACCAGGTCATCAGGACCACACATTCCCCTTGTGTCAAAGAGATCTATTGGGCATACACAACACCAAGATAACTCTCATTGACAAACTGTAAAGAAGAAATTCAGAATCTGAGATTGAGTAAAAGGGACGCAACACCAGGCTTTTGATAATCACTGAACAAAGTGATTTTTCTCTGATTCTTTGTAAGGATGACAGTAGTTCAGTTAGATTCAGCTTAAATGACTTATCAAGCTTACTGTGGCTTGTAAAACCATGGAGAGTCACCAAACATTAAGTAATTAAAACCTGTTGATTATGACTAAATAAGTAAATTTTATCCAAAGGTGTTATCAAACAAGTAAGCTACAAATTAGAAAAGGCAGATATGTGAAATCTGTGAACACATCCCACCATACTTCTACAGAAAACTTTAGAGACTGATTCCAAAGTAGACAGAAAAAATACTACCAATCCAAAAACTTGATGGTCATAGCATGTATTGTGTAAATAAAGCAAAATATGTAACATGTTAAGTTGAGGAAATATTTGTTGAAGTCATTATACAGTTTGAAATCCATAGCCTTTACAGACCTTGGCAGCCATGTAATAATATTGTCATACAACACATATTACATAAATAATTTGAATCTTGTAGTCTGTTAGCCCTTACAACTGTAAGCATTGTTAGGAATTTGAGGACTATTTTGTACAATACTGACCATGCCCGAAGTCAATGCCACCACAAGGTCAGTACTGACACTCAGCATACGTTATATGCATATATTCGTGAAAGCATGGCTTGAAACATTTGTGGTTCTCCAACAATTGTTAAACATATTTCAGTTATTTGAAGTAAATAAACAGTGAGTAAAGATCACATTTACACAACATATTGAACGGGGAAAGGGACAATACTGATCTTTGTAAAGTGATCACTGACAAAAAAGTATCGGTTTGTATTTAGCTAGAGAGAAAGTAATAGTCACTTCATCTCAACAAAGTTTTCATTGCAGAGTTCAACAGTTGCGTTCGCACGAGGAAATAATTTTAAAGTAATTAAATAACTTACCATATGACAAATTCTCGTTTAGTTTGAGAGGTCCACGCAATATATAGATGACAAACACAACAAGAACGAACCACACTGCCCACAAATAGGTCCAGGACCACGCAATCCAAGACTTAAACTTGTCAAAGAATCTTGACAGGAAGCCCGCCATGTTTCGTATGACCGGATCGGAGCAAATGATATGTGTAGCAATTAAAGTACATTTTAAAAATCGAAATGAATTCATGGATAATGGATTTTAGAAACAAAATGTCTAGTGTACTATATCGATTTTATTTACATTATATATATGATATGGCGGTCCATCTTTTGAATCAACTCGCCCTGAAGTAAACTCTCATAAGTACATTAACTATAAATATTTTAATTAGACTCATTGCTGCAGTTGTGATTGAAATGGTTTTCTTTCTCACCAACAGCGGAGTTGTTTACAAACACATCAGTAAGCTAATTGTCAGTAGGAGATTTCTCTTTGCAAAGTTCTAACTAAAACGGATCTCATCAAAAAGACACAAGGTAATTTCAGCAAAACGGCTCAAGCTGTAGTAGTGTCCTATAGATGTATTGTTTGCTGTGAAGTGACAATATATGCCATAACATGTGGTGTATGCGGAATGCAGGGCTGAAATATGGGGACATTATGCACTCAGTACGCGACAATGATATGAGCGATATATGTGTATAATATATGGTAACAAAAATGGTAACCAATGAAGAGTATACCGACAGCTACATAGATTCCCCTGTTAATTCTTTATCCTACGTTACGTTTGCTGGAAGAAAGATGGAGCAGAAAGAAAGATGCTTCCGATATCAAGCTGTAATATTTTCGTTATTTTATTTTTCGGTGGTTGTAGATCGCCGCACCTTGTCCAGCTAATGAGTCTGGACCAGAAACCCAGTGGGTGACACCATGAGCATCAACGTTAAGTCTGACCAGGGAGACTATATAAATGTTGTAGATTATCCCTGGTCTGACGTGTATATTTGTACTGGCCTTTTCAAATACCGCAATATTGGCGACTGCTAAATCCATAGTTTTATGATCTCGGGTAGTGACGACGTAGTATAAACGTTATGGTGATATCTTCGGACTGAATATTGTATCTGTTTCTTAATTCGCCAGTACTTAGTGTTGGAACTCTCTCTGGAAAAAGATAAGATGAATCTTTCAGTGTTGAAGTATTAATCATTTTGTAGAACAGCGGCAATGCCTTATTTGTGTTAGTGTCATGAAGTCTTAATGTCCCTTTATACCAATACGTGACATCAGGCGGCCAAACATATACTCCTTGAGGTTTCTGAAAGTAAATTGAAATGAACTTTATCTTAACAATTACGTCTGTGTTACGTTGCAGTTTTGGCAAAGTTCCGATTTGATTCCTGAAATATGCTAGACTGGTTCAGTTTTAATTGTATAATTTTGCAACGAAATATCTTGGATCATGCAAAAATCGCCTGCCCTGTTGTTTCCATATTTTCTGATAAATTGCGGGTGCAAATCTTTATGCGGGTGTTAACTCTGGTCAAGTTGAGTCGAAGTGTCAGTCGTTTGTGCGAGCCTATTATCATTGACCGGAAGTTTTCAGCCGTAAAGTCTATATTTAAAATCCTACCGGGAAAAGTCACTCAACTGACAACATGCGCATGGTTAGGACATCAAGAGGGGATGAGCAGAGTAGCTGTGATTCGCTCTAATCCTTCTCAATGGTTAGTCACTTTTGTAAACGTTTCCATGATTTACGCACAAACGGGAACATCAACTTGCTCTGATTCTGATCAACACGTCGGATAAGGTTCGACAGCACGACGATTTCTTTATCTGGCATCTTTAATGAAACTTTGTGCGAATAAAATACTGCTTGATATCTGAACCACAGAACAACATATGAAATGGATTTGTATGCTTATGTATAACTTTCTACGTTCAATATGAAAAATGGCTTGACTAAAGTTGATTTTCCTCTGACGCCAAGCAACGACAGAGAGGACACACACATATATATATATACCGCTGATCCAATCTTTTTCAATACAAAAATCCACATTGTAACCGGATAATGCTTTGTTATTATCACAAATTATAAAGAATTAGGAAATCGCGACACTCCAGAAAGGAGGTAATAGCTAAATGGATGGTCCTATCTACCTAGAAATTAGTTGTTAGATTCCCAAACTCTTTTGATTATGTAGATGTATTTTGACTAACGTTGCATCCTTATTAACAGAGATCGAGCCTCAAATATAATGAAATTTCTGAAAATACGACACCACATTAGTTGCATGTTGTAAATATTTGGCAATGCCGGAGAAAGATGACATCTGTATGTTGTTTAGTATATATCTGACCTAATTTCCATTCAAGGTATAAAATCTCGGTTTATCATAGTATCAAATGTTTTTTAGCTTCCATTAGATGTTATATTCGTAATCTGATGGAGAAGAAGTGAATGAGTATTGTTTTTACACTACTATTAGCAATATTCCAGCAATATCACGCATGGGGACACCAGAAATGGTTTCCCACATTGTGGCAGAATAAGTTGGACATGTGCACTGAAGTAGGTATCAATAAATTACATTCAATAAAACTAACTATCGGTTGATCGAGGTTATTATGCTAAGATGTCAGATAATACACAAGATATACGCATTAATAGTTACTAATAGGTGAGGATCCTCAGCTTAGTGTCCCAATGGATGAAAGAATCGCGAGCCAAACATGACCTGCTTGACTGTTTATTTTTCTATCACAAAGGATAAATATTTCAGTGCCAAACGGTTAAAGATCTCTTTAATAATGTTAACTGTCATTTCTTTATTGATGTTATAAAAGAAATTGACCTGATCGATAAAATTTGATTGATCTATTTTGTAGATACGCATTTTTTATATAGTCTACGCCTCGTCCGGTCCGTCCGAAATCATTTTGTTTCCGAGCAAACTCAAAAATGTTCAATATTTGTCAACCCAAATTGGTAGGTATATTAAACAGAACCTAAAGTGGTGCCTTTTGATACTTACAATTTTTTGTCATTTTATTTTTCGCGGTTTCCATGGACACGATTCAAACTTTGTCTCAAAAGGAGGGTGTGCTTCGCTTCCGAACACAACTCGAAAACCGCTCAATATCTTTCAACAGAACTTATTAGATATATGAGACATACCCGAAAAGTGGTTCCTTTTTCTATTTGGCGGATTTTGGACATTCATATTTTTCCCATTTCCATGTAAACGATTCTGACTTAGTCTAAAAGAAAATCAAGTTGGACTTTAAGTAGCTGTCAAATGATCTTCTTCTTGTTGAAAAATATTGAACGGTTTTTTAATTAAGACTCTGGAAACAAAATTACATGCCTCGGGTTGGGTTGGAGGGAGTGATAAATGAATTGTTATAGTCACGATATATCTAAAATATTGCCGGTGTGACTATAATCTTTACCACTCACTCACCATTTGAATAATTTCCTTGATAGATAAAATCGATTGGATAGTTTACCATGTATCTTATTGCATACAACGCCACAGACTTGTTTTGTTTTGCTTTCGCTAATATCAAAGAAAATATTTCAAAATATAATATTTATGTTCCAATATTATGACCGGGTCAGGTCTCGGATTGTTCATTATCATGTGGCTACTCTCTTCATTATCATGTGGCTACTCTCTTCATTATCATGTGGCTACTCTCTTCATTATCATGTGACTACTCTCTTCATTATCATGTGGCTACTCTCTTCATATTTATACGAAGAAAGGTGAACTCATAAATACCCCTTTGGTACGGAACTATCAGAGGGGTGCTTGCGATTGGGCAAAAGGAGGACATGTAATGTTTTTTTAATTTTTTTGGTACAGTTCTTGCAGAAATAAAGTGAACAGTTTAATATCATGTCATGGGATTATTGGCACTATTTAGTGATTACACCGTGTATATTATAAAAACAAAACGAGTATATCGTTCAACGCTTGTGACAAGCACCTAGTGAATCATTCAACAACACCATTGTCAATAAAAAGATATAATACAAATTTCATAACCATGATAATTCCTTATAGATATGTGTGTATATACATTTAAACATATATTAATAACTTTCCTAAAGTAAAAGATCTTGTTGTACTAATATATCCTTTAAAGTATTTTTCTTTGAGAACATACAGATCTTATCAAATCTATAAAACAATATATGGAAAGAATCTGTACCATTTGATAGCATATTGGAAGAACCATTCGATCCATGTAACCTCAGAACTTTATACATGGAGGGAAAAGCATGCAGATAATCTATGCTGTTGTGTAATGGATATTGCCTTGAAGGGGGAAAAAATAGTCAATAACAATGGCAAACTGATATTTATACAGAAATATCGGAAATATAATTGATGGAAAACTATTTATCAATAAGAACAACTTAATAAGACAAAGTTCAGATAATTAATTCCAACACTATATTATTCATAGAATGCTGACAACAGATAAAAAACATCGCTCAAATATAAAATTGTAGCATATTCTCTATATTCTTTGTGCAGTGCTGAAACTGAAAATATCATTCGCTTGTTATTTTAATGTACACAGGTAAAACTATTGAGCAATAACCTTATAAAATAGACAGAAAATAACCGGTACTAAACTAAAAGTAGAATAGAATCACATCATTTTTTGGCTGTGTGAATTTATTATACCTTGCAACAAAAAATTATCTCCATAATACTACCGAACTAAAAACATACCTCCTGAAATCTACATCATTTAGAAAAATATATCTCATACACAGTCTGTGAATAATGGCAAATTTGTGACCTCGACGTCGTCTTTTTAAAAAATCTCAAGCTTTGTAAATGCAAATACAAACACTTTTGTTTCGGCAATAGCTAACCAGAATAAACTTACACAAGGAATTGGTACACTGTTTAGACCCATTTCCTACCAAACACCAAGACTGTTAGGGACAACTTCGAATATATTGGATAAAATCTTAACACTTGTCAGTTTTGAAGCTTAGAGGTGTGTACGTGCGTGGTATTCACTTGGTAGGCAATCACTAAATGAAGTCTGAAAAAATGAGCTTGGTGAAATTATTATGCATTACTCCCAAATGTTGTTCCCTCGGTTTTCATCAGATTACAGACAGGATAAGCCAGTCGACAACAAAATATTTAGATGATTTAAGACAGGTTCAAAGACCAGTTGTCCAGTATTGTTTGGATGGTATTACATACTATTTATTTAGTCTGGATGATATTTCTGTGTATTAGCATTGATTGTATATTGCGATATATTGTTATATGTATATATATGTTTATATTGGAGGTAAAGTATTTGACACTGTAGCATTGGATCCCAATTTCATATTGCTGTGAACAGGTTTCCTTGTGGTACCTTGCAGTCATACATGGTGATAGATAATGCAGCATTGATTGTTGATGTGAATGTTAGTATTTACAACAGTTTCATGTTTGTATTTGCAGAGGAAGTGCTTTTGAGTTGAGACCATTTCAAGATGAGTGGATTTAGTCAGTCAGGTTCTGGCTTTGGCCAGACAAATCCTTTTGGACAGATGAAGCAGACAGGCTTTGGTCAAACACAGTCCCCCATCTTTGGAAATAATCAAGCATCCAGTTCAACGCAATCGTCCGTGTTCGGACAGAGCTCAACATCAAAACAAACATCTGTATTTGGACAGGGCTTATCAAGCGGTTTCGCCAAAATCCAGCACAGACACAAGCATCTGTATTTGGACAAAGTGGATCAGGTTTTGGTCAGAATCAGGGTCAAACACAGACATCATCGATTTTTGGACAGCCACCAGCTTCTGTTTTTGGTCAGAGCCAATCAAGTGGTTTTAGCCAAACTCAATCAAATGCATTTGGACAAAGCCAGTCAACTAGTTTTGGGTCGACTTCATCCGGCACCACAGCTCAGTCAAATGTATTTGGGCAAAGTCAGTCATCTGGTTTTGGGCCAACTTCATCCAACACCACAGCTCAATCAAATGTATTTGGGCAAAGCCAGTCAACTGGTTTTGGGTCGACTTCATCCAGCACCACAGCTCAATCAAATGTATTTGGGCAAAGTCAGTCAACTGGTTTTGGGTCGGCTTCATCCAGCACCACAGCTCAATCAAATGTTTTCATGGCCACTTCAGGAGCAGCATCTGCCATGTCACAAACCAATCCGTTTGCAACATCATCAGTCTTTGGACAAAGCGGAAATCAGGGGGCATCTCAAAACACATCAGGTGGATTTTCTTCCACTCAAGGGGCAATGTCTGGGTCAGGATTTGGGAGCACAGGTGGAATATTTGGTGCCAAGGATTCGAAGATGACAACATCATCAACATTCCAGACTTCAGCATTTGGAACGTCTACAACCCCAACATCATCTGCCTTTGGTGGAAAGAGTTCTGTATTTGGTGGAAGTTCGTCCAAATCAGTATTTGGTGCAACCACTGGTGCATCTGATGGATCTGGTTTTGGTGTTGCCATGACAACTTGTAAATCTTCACCTGTGTTTGGAGGACCACCCGCTACTACTTCCATCTTCTCATCGGCCCAGTCTTCTGTCTTTGGTGCCAAGAAAGAATCACCTGCAGTCTTTGGCGGGACGTCTGATTCTGGTAGTGTATTTGGAGGTGCCAAGAAAGATTCTTCAACAGTATTCAGAGGTTCAACCTCCACCAGTGGATCCTCAACATTTGGTAGTGTCAGGAAAGGGAGTGGTAGTTTATTTGGAGCCAAAACAAGCTCTAAACCAGCTTCTGAGAATCTGTTCAAATCTGTGAGTGCAAGCACTGGTGGTGGACTGTTCGGGAAGAAATCAGACCTTCCTTCCACAGACATTGTGACGGAGCAAAGTCCAATGTCGCAGACCTCAAGTACAGGTCAAGGTACTCAGAGCAAGTCAATCTCGAGCGTGTTCGGCAGCAGTAAGGTCTTCAGGGAGCAGGCAGGAAGTACAGGGGAGTCTCCGTTCATGGGGGGAAAGTCAGGGGCACAGACAGGTCCAGATGACGAGACTGGGGAATCAAAGCCTGGAGTGAAGACGTTGTTTGGGAAGACAACGTTCAAGTCCACAGCATCAGGGTTCCGTGAATCAGATAAAGCGAGATCAGAAGGAGGACTGTTTGGAGCTCCAGTCAAGAAGGAACCAGGTAGGGCTGACGCTGATTAGAAATTGAATTATGTATCACAAAAATATCCAAGTTTATATGTGACTACTAGCTTTCCTTCATCTGATCAGTTGAATTGTTACATGCACTTGACACAATGTTGTGTTATCCTCATGTGAGGTTAATTTTTAAGTTATTTTTCTCTTCTCTCTCTCTCATGCACTACCCGTGAAGATCTGGGTTGGAATTGATCTTCATTAACCCATGCTTGTAAGAGGCGATTAACGGGTTCGGGTGGTCAGATTCGCTGACTTGGAATGTATATCATTGTATTCCAATTGCGTAGATCGATGCTTATGCTTTTGATCACTGGATTGTCTGGTCCAGACTCGATTATTTACAGACTGCTGCCATATTGCTGGAATGTTGCTGAGTGCAGCGTTAAACAACAAACAAACAACCATCTCTTCATGCGCCTGATTTGACATGTTTAGGATTGTTTTCTTGTGCTGCTATTGAGCTAATGAACTTGGCTGTCACCATACAGTGTTACAATGATCTGACAGACAGTTTCTCTTTCTGAGCATGCAGTGACCATAGTCAGTCTGTGGATTCAGCTACTAGTCTGAAGACTTGAGTCTAAGAAGATGTATTTGGGTCTGGGCCTGTTTGTTCATATACTATTACTGAGATCTGGTTTTTGGGGTTTTTTCAGGCAGAAGTCTGTTTGGAGGGGAAGAACAAGAAGCTGCCAAAGAGGAAGATCGAAGCAGGAAGAGAAGCATCCGAAGAGATGATGAGAGTAAGTAGATGATCACATCAGATCCATGGAACGACCATCACAGTATATGTGAATATTTGGCATTTGCTTTGAGAAGGTCAAGGTCATGAGAAAGATACAACACAACAAAATGTTTCCCCAGACATTTAGAATACAATGAAGTAATTGGACTGAAAGCTTAGTTTGATTTTTTTTAATTTGTTGATTTAATCATGTGTCAATCATTGTTATTATGTTTGATGTGTCCAAGAATAGTAACATGGTTCAAGGCAGTCAACTCAAACCTCCTGGTTTAAGCTTATAACAATGTTCTAAAAGTACATTTTGCCAAAGGAAATCTTGGCTGTGTTCAAAGTTACATGGCTGGAGAAAAAGTTGGTAGACAAACCACCATATTCCTTCAGTTGCACTCTGGGGCGGTGGGGTAGCCTAGTGGTTAAAGCGTTGGCTCGTCACGCAGAAGACCCGGGTACAATGTGTGAAGCCCATTTCTGGTGTCCCCCGCCGTGGTATTGCTGGAATATTGCTAAAAGCGGCGTACAACCAAAACTCAGTCAGTCAGTCAGTTGCACTCTGACTGAGCTTGTGTCTATACTTTGAAGCTTATGAAGGCTTAAATCTTAACTATGTTGTATTGACCGGTCGATGTCAGACAACTAAGGCTGACCAGTACTCATCTATAATGTTGCACCTTAAGTTCAAGGGGACTGACCTCAACGAAATGGGCATGGCTCCTCATGTAACTGTTTAGGTGGCCAAAGTCAGGAGCCAACTCAATTTTAAATGGAGTAAGCAATATCAAAATGAAATAGTCAGTTTAAATAGCAATAATAATGCTTTTAGAAAGTATCCCCAAAACCAGTGACTTGGTTGACACTGTGTACTTAAACTGTGATGGATAGTTGCCCACATTGTTGATCACTGGATTGTTTGGTCAGGTACCTCTAAGAGAGGCCGCAGCCTGTTTTCCAGTGCCATGGCTGGGGCTGTTGCTGGGAGTGGCATGAGGAGTGACAGGACAGGACCCCGCCCCTCTGTGACTGACAGGACAGAGCCCCGCCCCTCCACATCCAGATCAGGGGACCCTGATGTAGAGCCAGGACAAGGTATGTGACTCATCTATGTACCGAGGTGGACTTTTCAAGGTGTATTGGCCAGTACATTCTGTTTCAGCATGGCACCCAGGACCAAAGCTGTTGGTTCATACACCATGGATTAATGAAAGTTTTCTTACTAATTAACTCATTCACAACTTTAAATGTGTGAAGATTTTATTTACGTTTTTCTTTTGAGATCTCACCTCTTGAAGTTTTCAGTAAATGCTTCCAAACTTTAAATTTGTCCCCAGCAGCCTATGCTGGTTGCAAAAGGTGACTAAATCGGAGGTGACTTGGTGGATGGTTTGTCACCATACCCTGATGATGAGAGTTGCTGCTCACAATATCGACCACTGGGTTGTCGGGTCAACAATTATTTACACACCGCCTTCTTACAGCTGGACTAATGCTGAGTGTCGCATTAAACAACAAACACTCAGCTCCTTCATATCATTATTATTACAATTATCACTGTTGTCAACCCGTGTGGTGGGGTAGCCTAGTGGTTCAAAGTGTCTTCTCGTCATGCTGAAGACCATGGCTCGAAGCCCATTTCTGGTGTCCTGCCATAATATTGCTGGAATATTGCTTAGACTCTTAGCACTCTTAGTAAGAGTGGCGTAAAACTCAATCACTCACTCACTATTGTCAAGCAATATTCACTTTCTCAACCCCTATACTACACTAATTATTTTGTGCTATGTTAGATATCTTGGTTCCTGGGACTGACACTGATGCATGCATATTGTAATTCACTCAGTTGCTCAGCCTGGATCACCAGAACATTGCCATGTTCATGTTGTGCCAATATTGACTGGAAGTTCTTGATATAGAAGGAAGCCGTGAGTCAAGATCCACCACAACCATGAGACTGAGAAGACTACCATCAGTAGCAGAGGACGTCACGTCCAAGATTGCCATCATCTGTAAGAACGTCCCAACCAAGTTCAACAAGGGCTCCATCCTGCGTAAACATTTCTCCAAGTATGGTTCTGTGTCCAAGGTGTTTCCCAATGTCAACAAGAAGTCGGCAACCATTCATTTCAATGACCATGTGAGTTGGCAATTTGAAAACTGCTTGTCAGAATGTTTTTGAAGTTCATAGACAGTCCTGTGTTTGAAATTCCTATCAGTTCAGTGTCGATGACGTTAAAACCATCCAGGCCATATAAATCAGGAGACTCAGAACAGAAACAGGTGTTACCAATCTCCATTAAAATGTAATGGCCAAGTCCCTACGGTATGAAAACCACATATTATCAAGCTTGCTTGTAGTGAAAGAGAATCCCTGATTTTAAAGACAGATAAAAAGTAATGTTAGCACACTGAAATTCAAAAGGGCATGTCTAAAATAACTTATGTGGCAAACTTGAAAATTCGTTGTTTCTATTCCTGCTTCCATACAATATTCTGAATATATGTGTTCTTGTGTTTTTTGAGTCTGATAACTCCTTGTATACTGTCTCTGGAAAAATCTAGAATGGTGTTTGGATGTTTCTTGGGACAGTAGTATGGATCCATGTCCATTCTATGACCTCTGATTCACATGGATCAAACCTGATTCTTTGTTTGCTCACTGAATGTGCCAAGAAAACACTCTGTTCTGTTAAAGGGCACTATGTAAAGGGGATGCTTCAAGTTTTTACCTGAATTTGATATTTGTCGCTACACTTTGTGTTTGAAACCAAGATTTGCTGGTGATGAGAGGCATATCATCTACCTCTGGTATTTGTACTTTAAAGCCCTGGGCCCTGTTCCTCAAAGCGATCGTAGCTCTAAGTTGATCGTAACTCCATACTTTAACATAGACTTACGACTATGGTAGCTCTACGATCGCTTTGAGGAATGGGGCCCAGGTAATTATACTTCACAGATTTTTCATCTAGTTCAATGACTTGATGTCGGTCATCATGGAATTGCAAAATGTGTGAGGTCAAGGTCACAGTGAAGTTTACATCTAATGTATGTTTCCCATTTGCACAAGAATGACTTTTTCTTCAGATACAAGCATTATCATTCTTGCTAGTAGTAGTTACCTTTGGTAATAGATATGTATGACAGTGATGACAGGTGACTTGTTGACAGTGACATAATTTCAGTATGTTTTTGTATTTACAGTGAAATCCACCTTCTAAGATTGCCCCTTTGTCTGTTATGTCTTAGCATTGGGAATTAAAGTGGTATGGTTTTGATTGATCATAGAAGGTCAAGGTCACTGGAGGGCGGTGGGGTAGCCTAGTGGTTAAAGCGTTAGCTCGTCACGCCGAAGGCCCGGGTTCGATTCCCCACATGGGCACAATGTGTTAAGCCCATTTCTGGTGTCCCCCGCCGTGATATTGCTGGAATATTGCTAAAAGCGGCGTAAAACTAAACTCAGTCAGTCAGTCAAGGTCACTGGAATTTTCCTTCTTAAAATAGTTTCTGCTTCTTTGTGTTATCAATCCAACCCTTGTGTTTATTCACCACAGTTGTCAGACCTCATACTTTGATTTAAACTGAAGATAATCAAAAACGAGATTGGTTGAAATACAGGGTCAAGGTCATGAATCCCGAAATGTTTGTAACTTTGTACTGAAGCTGGAGGCTAAGGAGTTTGCTACGGTGTATGCGTATTATATCACTGGAAATGTTTGGCCATGTGTAATGATTTCTAGAAATGTGTGGAATGGGACTGCTTTTGCTTTTGCACATTCTTGCAAACACTGTTCTAGTTGTATTTAGGAGTGTTCAGAAGGGTTGGACTCTTGCCAGAATACAGCTAGAAGTGATGTAACACCCTTCCCAATCACTTTGAAATGTTCATTTTCAGAAATCTGCTGCTGAGGCTAAGGCTCGAGGAAGAGTTCTGGCAAAGGGCATCCCACCATTGCAGATCTTCTGGAGTACTCACTCTCCTGGGATAACCAGGTCAATGTCGGTCACGTCAGCAGCTTCACCAGAGGGGTTGGAGACATCACCTACTGTGAACAGCGACAACACCAGTAAGGGTTTCAGTGTTGTCTGTTATTCTGTGGCTGTGTGTCATTCTCGGGCTGAATATTTCTGTATTGTATGGACTGCCCCAAGTCAAGTTTGGCAGTGATGTACTAGAATCAATAACGATGATATGATTTATTGTTTGCAAACTGATGTTTTAGAGCAATGAAAATTCTGACTGCTGGATGACTCATCCATCCATCTATCCACCCTTCCATCGTCCATCATTCCATCCATCCACCCTTCAATCATCCATCCACCCATCCATCCACCCTTCCATCCATCTACACACCGTTCCATTCACCCTTCCATCCATCTACACACCGTTCCATCCAACCATCCATCCATCTACACACCGTTCCATCCAACCATCCATCCATCCACCCTTCCATCATCCATCAATACATCCACCCTTCAATCATCCATCCATCCACCCTTCCATCCATCCACCCACCCACCCATCCATTCACCCTTCAATCCATCCATCCATCCATTCATCCATCACCATCCATCATCCATCCATGCAATCATCCACCCTTCCATCCATCCATCCATTCTTTCACACATCCATCCACACATCCACACACCCACCTTCTAATCATGGTGAATCATGCTCTGTCTGCAGGTGAAGGTAAGATTGTAAAGAAGTCCAAGTGGGACGAGGATGATGTTGATGATGAACTGAGCAGTATGTCTGGGACTCAGGACGTAAAGAGCTATCACCAAGAAGGTGACACGACCGCGAGACTCATCACCAGCAAGCTATGAGAGACACAGAGCCTCCTCAAGTCACAGTCCGAGTCGGACTTCCCCAAACCAAGTCCCACCAAGACGACCTCGGACACTGGTCAGTGTAGCTTTAGGAAGTAAAATAATTAAGATATATTTTGATTGGCTGACCGCTTTATCTCTGATGGATTAGAAGAATACTGGGGTACCAGTTATAAATTAGCCAAACTGTGGCTGTTCCTAACAGTGTCAGTGTTGATCACAGGGGGGTGGATTATGCTGTCAAGCACTGGAGGTCAAGGTCACTTACAAGGTCGTTGTAAAAAGTTCTTGTCATTCTGTCATGAGAAAATGGTGCAACGGTGATTGACATTTGAGGAAGTCTTACATTGGACATATTCCATTTTGTCACTCCTTTGTCTGTGAGAAGGTCTGTGGTCAAGTGTGCCAGATAACACCCCACGCCAGAGGAGAGTGCCAACTAAATATGTATTAGATCTGTCTATGAAATGTTTTGTTGACCAAAGCTGACTCCTCTCTCTCCACAGTGTCGCTGAGCAGCCTCCGTACCGCCGTGGCCAAGAATGTCCATGACATGATCAAGATTCTGGACCTTCGGGACAAGTTCATCCGAGAAGGTGGGTCGCCATACTGACTGCTGCAGTGAACCCTTGAACACACACACAAATGATTTCTTTGTAAATAATCGATAACAGACTGTAGCTTGGTTACTTGTCTGAAGGGACGGAAAAGATAGGATGTGAGATGGTAGTGAGGTCAGGCTTTTAGTTTGTGGGGTGAGGTGCTATGTAGTGAGTCGGGGGTGTTTGTTGTGAGGTGAGATGTTTGATAGTGAAGTGGTGAGTTTAGTAGTAAGTCAGGGATGATTGGTAGTGAGTCAAGGTGTTTCGTAGTGAGGTGAGATATTTCGTAGTGAGGTGAGATGTTTGATAGTGAAGTGCTTTGTTTGGTAGTGAGTCGGGGGTGTCAGGTAGAGGTGTTGTGATTTGTGTGTGTGTGTGTGTGTGTGAGTTTCGTTTTACAACGCTTTTAGCAATATTCCAGCAATATCACGGCGGGGAACACCGGAAAAATGGGCTTCACACATTGTACCCATGTGGGGAATCGAACCCGGGTCGTCAGCTTGACGAGCGAACACTTTAACCACTAGGCTACCCCACCGCCCCGTTGTATTTGGTAGTGAGTGGGGGTGTTTGGTAGTTAGTTAGGGGTGTTTGGTAGTGAGAGGGGGTGTTTGGTAGGGAAATGTGGTTTAAGGTACTGGGGTGGTAGGTAGTGATTTGGAAGGGGATGAAATCAGAATGAAAATGTAAAGTTTACTGCCCTACCAGTATTATGCAGGATAAGGGCTCTCCTTAAATAGCCTAAAAGTCTGCTTGATGGGGCGCAAGACCCGCACATGTTACCAGTACTTTGAATGACAGACAAACTGACATGGGCTTCAGTGCTAACAATTTATTGTCTTTACTCACTACTAGGCCGCACCAAGCAGTTCAACTTGGCAACAGCACGGGCGTTTGTCGGGACGTGTATGGACATGTGTCCAGAGAAGGAAAGATACGACAGAGAGGAGAAACGCAGACTCGGCATGTTCGAGTATGTTCCTGGATCAGAAAATATCGTGAGTGGTTTCGTTGAATTTCCAATTCACATTCTTGAAGTTTAATCAAGCTGAGGGCAATTTGTTTTTAAAGCATAATTTTTTGTCAAAAATACTTATGTTGGTCTTAATGTTGAGTAAAAAAGCTGTGTCAGTGTTGTTTTGTTGTTTGATGGCAGCCTGGACAGAACCCTCGTGCAGATCACTCCCGTGTTGTGAAGGAGTACAGCAGATCATCAGCAGATCAGGTAGGGAAGATCAGATCATGTCTACACCTATGTCAAAATCGGCCTTCAGCAGCCAGTGCTTGTAAGAGTTGAGGATTAGGTGGTCATCTCATTTGTCTTCATGGATGCTCATGATGTCAATCACTGGATGAATCTTACTTCCTTACTTTGTGTGTGGGGCGGAGGGGTAGCCTAATGGTTAAAATGTTGGCTCGTCACGCCAAAGACCCGGGTTCGAATCCCCACATGGGTACAATGTGTGAAGCCCATTTCTGGTGTCCCCCGCCGTGATGTTGCTGGAATATTGCTAAAAGCGGCGTAAAACCAAACTCAGTCAGTCAGCCCTTACTTTGTGCTGCTGATTAGTTGCCTCACACGGAGATTGTGGGTTCAAATCCCGGATGTGTCTCAACCAATATACTGGAATCTATACTTTACTGAGAAAGTCTAATGCCCAAGATTTGACCACTAATGGCACTGTGTATTCAGTCCAGTGATTGACAGTATGAACATCAATCAACGCTTGTGTAATCCCAAATAGAATATATGTTACCATCACTGGATTGTCTGCTCCTAAAATAAATATCACATGACAACCATGTGGTCGCTGTGTGTGCATATTCTTTGAATGTTGAATGTACTTTTAGTGACCTTAACCATGGATGAACACAGATTTCTAGGTCAGTGTTACACAGCCTCTGTTCTGTTCTTCAAAGAAATGACAAGTGTCTACCATTGAGTTTCTGATATATTTATGGTTCCAGTTGATTCTATCCATTTTGTTAGACGGTGGGGTAGCCTAGTGGTTAAAGCATTCGCTCATCACGCCAAAGACCCGGGTTCTATTCCCCACATGGGTACAATGTGTGAAGCCCATTTCTGGTGTCCCCTGCTGTGATATTGCTGGAATATTGCTAAAAGTGGCGTAAAACCATACTCACTCACTCACTCTATCCAGTTTTAGCTGAAACAGCTTGATACAGGTAATACAGGTGATTTGGTATTTCACTGACCATTCTGGGCACAATAATTAGTTTTTCCCAAATTGCCAAACAAGGGCACTCTGTTTTAAATCTGGATAAGTCTGTGTGACAGTCTCGCAATATAGCATTACCCAGTGGAAGGAGGATGAGTGTATGTTGACATTGACTGTGTGTCCAGGACGAGCCCCTGCCTCACGAGCTGCGGCCCATCCCAGTGTTGGTGCGCACCATGGACTACCTGCTGACGGAGATCGCGGACAAGGGGACGGATGGACGCTGGATGGACTGGTATGGCTTCCTGTGGGACAGAACACGAGGGATAAGAAAGGTTTGTATCTGATTTACAGTCAACAAAATTCTTAAAATTCAGAGAAATAGATGGGTGATGATTGCTTGCTTATTTGTAGTCATGGTTAATTGATTTGTTGTCATTGACAACATGCACAACTTTAGTGGGTGTTATCTTCAATGTGTTAGTGGATTTCTTCCTTGCTTGTGTTCCTTCCAGTATGTAACTGACACAGTTGTTTTACTTGTCAACATGGTTGTTAATGTACAACTAAAGGCTATGACTGTATACTTCCAGTCTCAAGTTTTCCAACTAAGCTCCCTCCCTTCCCATCTTCTTATCCCTAACTTCCCTTCCTTTCTTATTCTCTACCCTCCCTCCCTTCCCATCTTCTTATCCCTAACTTCCCTTCCTTATTCTCTCTACCCTCCCTCCTTCCCATCTTCTTATCCCTAACTTCCCTTCCTTATTCTCTACCCTCCCTCCCTTCCCATCTTCTTATCCCTAACTTCCCTTCCCTTATTCTCTACCCTCCCTCCCTTCCCATCTTCTTATCCCTAACTTCCCTTCCCTTATTCTCTACCCTCCCTCCCTTCCCATCTTCTTATCCCTAACTTCCCTTCCCTTATTCTCTACCCTCCCTCCTTCCCATCTTCTTATCCCTAACTTCCCTTCCCTTATTCTCTACCTCCCTCCCTTCCCATCTCCTTACCCTAACTTCCCTTCCCATCTTCTTACCCTAGCTTCCCTTCCCTTATTCTCTACCCTCCCACTAACGGGATTGGGTGGTCAGGCTCTCTGGCTTAGTTGACACGTCATTGGTTCCCAATTGCGCAGATCAATGCTCATGCTATTGATCACTGGATTGACTGGTCCAGATTCGATTATTTACAGACCGCCGCCGATTTACGCCGCATATAGCTGGAATATTACTGAGTGTGGCGTAAAACTAAACTCACTCACTCACTCTCTACCCTCCCTCCCACTCCCTTCCCCATCTGCTTTTTCCTTAACTTCCCAGGGCTCCAGATAAGGGCCGTATCGGCGTATGTACAGATAAAAATATGCACGATATAGTAGGAAATAATTCAGAAAACATATCATATACAGACGTATTTATCTGATGAATTATTGTTATATTGTTTATTGACCTGTTTATACAAGAGTAGCAATGTTGTGCATATATGAAATGAAACACAAGATTACTGATACTCCATTAAATTCCATTCAGTGACTCTAAATGTACTCTTAAGTTCTTTTACAGAAGAAGTCCTCCTTGGGGTACATATAAGCATTAAAATGTCCATTTTAAAATACCTACGACAGTTGTAACAATATTTCAATAAAATGTTTTACCAAACAAAAAAGTGAGACCACCCCTACAGGGCCCCTCACAGGGCCCCCTACAGCCAAGAGCAGGTAACTCTGGCTGCTTACCTCGTACCTCACTTTTCATGCTATCATTGTCAAGAACGGTTGTGCATGGTGCAGTAAAAGACACGTCTTCACCTATCTACGAAAGAGAAATGAGTCAGAAAGAGTCGAATTCTGTATGTATGGTTCGTTCTTTTTCGCACGGGCGCTAGCTGGATTCTTCGTATGACTTTTTTCATTCATGATTTGTTGTAACTTTGCCGGCGTGTTCACTGTTTCCAGCCGCTTGGTCCCTTCTTTATCCCTTCTGCTGGCTTGGTAAGCCATTGCAGTCGGGTTGTAAGGTTTTCATATTTCATTATGTAGATTATGCTTGCCTAAATTCCTCTTTTTCAGCGTTTTTGGGGTAAGTTATGGTTGAGTGATTTGTAGCGTGTTCGTTTCGTATCAGCTCACAAATGTTGCTCTTTGTTAGTTATGTGCACAATTAGGCTTGGCTATTGTTGCTTTATGCTAGTATTTTAATAGCTTTGCTGTAGCAGTTAAATATCACCCGCGCGTTGTATTTGTCTGTATTATTATGTGCATATTCCACTATGTTAAACAGTCCTTGCTATTAGTCATAGCATGGTTCTGTTTTTTGCAGTCCAAGGGGTGTGTTACCTGTAGCGCTACATTATCGTCTCAGGATCACCACCTTGTATGTTTGCGTTGCTTGGCGTAGGAAGCCCATGATGACCAGGCATTCTGTGGGCGTTCCTGCCATTATCCCTGATTCCCAAGGTTCTCTTGCAGCTTGCCACCCAACCAACTCGACTGCTTGTGATCCTTGCACCTCTTTGGTCGGCTCAAAGCTGCACCAGTTGCAGACACAATATCTGGCTTCGCGGAGGGATTCTACAAACGTTCAATATGAGGATAGATGGGCCTGTTATACGCACGCTGGTGTGTCGGCAGAGGGATTTCCAATCCCTTTTCTTCAACTGTACTTAAAGTGCTGGAGTTTTTACAGTCTCGGTTAGAAGCCAGCTTATCCGCGTCTACTATCCGGGGCTACTCCACGACAATCTCTGCCTTCCATGTACCTGCCGACGGTGCTCTCTTGGGGCAGCACCCTCTTGTGCAGCTCTTTTTAGCAGGCGTGGACAGAATCCGTCCGACTGTCCGGACTTGTCAATCGTTCTTGATTGGATGTCCGGTCCTCTCTTTTACGATCTGTCGTCTCTTTCACTCCAGCTGTTAAGTTGGAAGGCTGCCTTTCTTGTGGCGGTAACGTTTGGCCGACGAGTGGGTGATATCCACGCGATGTCAGCGGATCCTGCTCTGACTGTCTTTCACGAAGACAGAGTCAGTATTCGGTTGCCAGACTCTTGCCGTCCTAAGATCACAGGCGCCTATTGAACTGCCAGCTTTCATTCAGCCTCCATCGTCCGGTACCTCTCTTCGACGTACTCACGTCTTAGATGTCCGTAAGACTCTCAAGGCTTATATCAAACGAACGGCTGCTATCAGGAAAGATAAGCAGCTGTTCTGTTGTTATGGCGGTGGTAAGGCTGGTCTTCCGGATAACAAGCAGACCATATCTAGGTGGCTTGTCTCTGCCATTTGTATGAGGGTTAACTATTCCTGATGGGTTAAAGGCTCAATCGGTTAGGGCAGTGGCTACATCAAAGGCATATGCTGCGGCATATACTCACGGGAACGTGCTCGGTTTGGCCAGACAGTTCTCACCAGTGGGCAGTGTCGTGACTCTCTAACTGAATGAGTTTTCGAAGTCACAACTGTTTTTACTTCCTGGTGTCGGTTATAAAATTCCACAATTTTTTATCGGTGATGGTATCATATTGGTGGTGATTTTTACCGTTTTTATTGGCTCTAGCGTTGCTTTACGCTATATCCACTGTTTTTCCTCCCTGCACCACGCTTCGCTGGTTTGGGATTATGAGCGGAATATTTAGGACTTGCCCATACATTCCTTTGATGGTTGGGGGGTGGGACTTACGTCCGTCATTGTAATTTCGCCAGGAGCATATAAGCTAGGCTCCTTTTACCCCGCCTTGCCACGCCCCCGCCTGATTGACATCAGCGGTCACATGACTTAGTAAGTGTATTTTTATCTCTCTCGGCTTAGGCTGTGCCTTCGATTGAACTACGGGTATGCTAGCCAGACAGAATACCACTCCCGACTCGCCTTCATTGGGGGTCTGTCTTATGCTTATATGTACCCCAAGGAGAACTTCTTCTGAAAAAGAATTTTACAAACCTGTAGAGATTATGAATTCTTTGAAAAAAGTCCTCCTTGGGATACGGCCTCCCACCTCCCCTCATTCTGTCTGACACGTTCACGATGAAAAGTGAGGTATGAGGTAAGCAGCCAGAGTTACCTGCTCTTGGCTGTAGGGGTGGTCTCACTAACAAAACGAGTTTTTTGTTTGGTAAAATATTTTATTGAAATATTGTTACAACTGTCGTAGGTATTTTTAAATTGACATTTTAATGCTTATATGTACCCAAGGAGGACTTTCTTCAAAGAATTCATAACCTCTACAGGTTTGTAAAAGTTTTCCAGTACTCCTGTATTGAAAATATAAGGAGTACGTACTCCTTATGTTGCAAAATTATCTGGAGCCCTGACTTCCCTTCCCCTTTCTCTCCCCCTTCCCTCCTTCCCCACCCCTCCTCACCTGCTTCTGCTGCTGTCCAGACTGGCCCACTGCTGACGGAGGAGTTTCACACCAAGCACACATATTCCCTGATTCTATTCCAGGACATCACCCAGCAGCAACTCATGAACCGAGAGGCGGTCGAGCTGCTGGAGAAATGTGCCAGGTTCCACATCTTCTGCTCCGAGCGTCTGTGTGAAGAGGACATGCATGTGTTTGATGAGAAGATCAACAACGAGAACCTGACCAAGTGTCTGCAGACACTGAAGGAGATGTACCATGACCTCGATGTCAAGCATCAGGTCTTCTGTCCCAGTGAGGCTGAGTTCCGGGCTTTCATTGTCCTCATGAACCTCAATGAAGGAGACACACTCAGGTAGGACTGTGTTGACACTGTTGTGTTGCAAGGAGTTTAGGAGGAGGTGTGAGGAGGTCATGAACCTCATTTAGGGAGACACACTCCGGTAGGACTCTGCTGACACTGTTGTGGTGCGAGGAGTTCAGGGGCTTTGGGTATAGTCATGGTCATGTGACCAGAACAAAATGGCAGCTGTTGAGGCCTGAATTTAGGCATTGATCTGAATATTTTCACAGATGTAGAGAATCAGAAAGGATGTGATTTTAATGGCCTGTTCATAACCACCTGACACGTCATGATCACTGACACATGTAACAATAAGACTACAGAATGGCTAAAAGGTGCAGAAAACGGCAATAATTTGAGAATTTCCCCAAGAAATAATACAACTGTTGTTCTTTACTTTACTGACGAATGTTGAAATATTCTCACAAGTGAGAACTGCAATACACAATAAGATTTCAACATACTTTTCTTGAACATACAACTGAAATGTTTTGGCAGCCGAAACTTTATTAATCACAACCTGAATGTTGTTGTTGTTTTGGCATGTGGTCATAATCCCTCAAACAGGTCATGCCTGACAAACTTTATTCACTTGGACAAAATATATGATAATATTCCAGTGTTGAGGAGAGATCTTTCAAGATGTTACAGCTGAAAAGCTATTTCACACAGTGACAGTACAATGCTAATATCATGGAGATGTTTTAACAGCACAGATTTTGACAAATGTTAGTCTTACCTCCACATTTGGTTTCTGTGTTGTAAGGAAAGAAAACTTGAAATTCTTTTTCAGAAGAAGTCCTCCTTGGGGTACATATAAGCATTAAAATGTCCATTTTAAATCCTACGACAGTTGTAACTATATTTTTAATAAAATATTTACAAAACAAAAAACTCGTTTTGTCTTGTGAGACCACCCCTACAGGGCCCCACCGACCAACACAGCCAAGAGCAGGTAACTCTCGCCTACCCCGTGACCTCACTTTTCATGCTGTCGCTCTGTTGAATAGACGTGTGGTCATAATCCACAAACAGGTCATGCCTGACAAACTTTATTCACTTGGACAAAATATATGATAATATTGCAGTGTTGAGGAGAGATCTTTCAAGATGTTACAGCTGAAAAGCTATTTCACACAGTGACAGTACTATGCTAATATCATGGAGATGTTTTAACAGCACAGATTTTGACAAATGTTAGTCTTACCTCAACATTTGGTTTCTGTGTTGTAAGGAAAGAAAACTTGAAACTCTTACTCATTTCTACATCCTTCTCACTGTGTATGTTATGTATTCAGGAGGTGTTGGCTTTGTTCACAGAGAGGTTCAGACGCTCAGGTCGGAGGTTCGCACCAGTACAGAGATTAAGTTTGTCATCAAGGTGTACACAGCTCTCAACAGCAATAACTATGTCCGATTCTTCCGTCTGATGAAGGAGTCATCGTTCCTGAATGCTTGCATCATCCATCGGTATTTCACGCAAGTCCGAAGTCGGGCGCTGCAGACAATGATCAAAGCTTTCGGTGGGAAGAAATCCCAGGTTTGTGCAGCAAACCATCAGAAGCATGGTAACGTGTATGGCTCACAGCGAATACTTCAGTCATCCATTGAAGAGAGAGTCCGCTTGGGGAGCAGACAGTCAATTATTAAAGATGTTGAAAGATGGTACTTGCTGTCAGTGTGCGAAATAGCCCGCTAGCCTGTGGCTAGTAAAAATCCAGTCGGGCCAGTAAATCTCCACAGTCATTGGCCCAACTGGCTCGTGAATTTTCATGGCGTGATTTTGTAAATATATCACTCTCTCCGACTTGTTAGTTATAATACACTTTTAAATCATGCAAGATTATGGCCTGAAAAAATGTTCATCATATTAGCAGCTTAATGATGAAACCGGTGTGATGCCGACAATATCTTATTCTCATCTACTTTTGTAATCTTTTGCTTCTGCATTCAAATTTCGGGCAAGTGAATTATTTTGTGGGCTAGTAACTTTCAGGCATAGCTTGTCCGACTGGCTAGCAAAATTTGGAAACTATTTCGCACACTGCTTGTTGCCAGGTGATCAGCATTGGGGAAATAAAGGAAGGAGTCGATTTCCATGGTCAGCTGTGACCAGTGTATATTGTACCAAATAGCTGTGTTTGCCCTATCCGATGTTGTGATATATGTGATTTATTTTGCAGTTTCCACTGACTGAACTTGTAAGGATCCTCTCCTTCGATAACGTCAATGAAGCAGCAGCATTCTGTCAGTTCTATGGCCTGAAAGTTGCCGATGGCGCCGTCGTATTGGACAAAAGTTCTTTAGTGATTCCAGAAAGTGCCTATGCACCTCGTAGAGCTATAACACTAATTGAATCCAAGAGAATGGTTCCTGTCGGAGAGGTAGGTGAACGTCATTGCTCATATTATTAGTCACTAGTTTCAGGTCAGATTCAGTTATTTACAGCTCTCAGTCATCCAGCTCTAACATTTGTGAATGTACCCGTGAAGCTCCAGGTTAGAATGAACCTTCAGTAACTTATGCTTGTCGTAAGAGGCGACTTTCTTACGGGATCGGGTGGTCAGACTCGCTGGCTTGGTTGACACATGTCATCGATTATTTACAGACTGCCGCCATATAGCTGGAATATTGCTGGGTGCGGCGTAAAACTAAACTCACTCACTCACGCATTGTGAGTGTGGCTTCAAACAACAAACTATCATGGCATGCTTTTCAATATCACTCTTGTAATCTTGACAGGGGGCCAGGGTTACTCAGTGGTTAAAGCTTTTGCTGGTCACACAAAAACCTGGTTTCGAATACCCACATGGGTACACAATGAGTGAACTCCATTTCTTGTGTCCCTCGTCATGACATTGCTGGAATATTGCTAAAAGGAGCAATAAAACATACTCCCCTCTCATGATCGCGACGTGTCATACCAAAAGACGTTAAAATATGGTACTTGTTGGTCCCTGCCTGGCGCTCGGCATTAATGGGTACAACAAGGACTGGTCAGCTCGGAGTCAGTATAATGTGTCTGAGTGGGGTATTCATGCTTCACTGTGGTATGGTATCTCAGTGGGCTAGCACTATAAAACCAGCTTCAGTCTGGGCTAGTACAAGCAGCCGCACATACACATACACACGCATGCACGTCGTCATATGAGCGAAATATTCTCAAGCACGACGTTAAACCCAATTTCACCTCACCTCACCTCACCTCACCACCTCACCTCATGATCGCGACACCACAGAAGTACTTGTAAGAATGGCTCATGAATGGCTCATCCCCTTATGAATAAGTCTGTTTGGTTCAACCATCAGAATCTGAGTTGGCCGAAGCAATTTATTACCAGTTATTATCTGGTACTGTAACCTCTCGCCAATCTGTGTGTGAGTATTCATGTTGAACTGGAGCCTCGTGTCTCATACTGTAACAAAAACAACATTAGTCCAGACTAGTACCAGCAACCATATACATGTGCACGCATGTCAGTACAACTAAGACAGTAAGTACAACTGCATGTAGCTTTTCATGTACATGTCTTTTGTCAGTGAGAAATAAATACAGACACCTAGTATAGAAACAAATACTGAATGCTGAAAAACGAATCGTAAAACAATATTCCTAAAGTGCTGTGATTGTTTCGTTGTCAAGGTGATCAGTGGGTCGGCTCTACCCCCTCTCCATCTTCCAGAGCCTCATTGCAGCTTTGATTCCAATGGCAGGTTCAGACTTGGTCCGGAACTCCTCAAGTACGGTAGGTTTCACGAGATGCAGCGTTCTATCACTGTTGACCACTCACATGTGGAAGAGGTCTTCTCAGGAACACTGTCAGGATACGAATGGTATCACACTCATGTTATCAAGATACATATTGTATCACAGCCTTATTCTAGTCAAGTCAAGTCAAGAAGGTTTATTGTACAGAAGGCCTCAGGCCCATATACAAGGGAGTATATATATTCACGTCATACTGTTACACACAGGAAGTAACACGTTCTTTAAACAGTTCATTTCTTTTAACTAGTGCATGTTTAGTATATAGTGAAAGGTTTAATATATGGGAGTCGTTAAAATATATACGAAAGCTTTCAATGGCGGCATCCCTATCACAGCCTTATTCTATCACTACACTTCTAGTCCTTCCCTGTTTTTACTTTTATACCTTCACAAATGCGAAAATATCAATTTTTTAATCAATTCTGATTTATTTAAGTCATTTCTAATACTTGTGTGTCAGAGGGAACCAAGGGGAAGAAACAGGTAGAGAAGTCATCTCCGGAGAAGAAGCCCACACCAGTGTCCACGGTGTTACAGCCTCCAGTCTCACCTTCAACGCCGGTGCAGTCTCCGCTAGCCGTCACCTCCACCCAGGAGGAGAGTGCTGCCGCAACACCGGAGACAACGCAGTTCTCTAATGAGGTAGGCAGTCATATAGTCAATGAATCATGGGGCATGTTGGGCGAGCTGTCTAACTAAGGTGCCGCGCTAGAAAGCGAAAGGTGCCTGGATTGATCCCCACTTGTGACTGGGATAAAAAACCTTTGAGCTAACATTACTTGCATGCTCTTTCAGTGTTGTCACAAACCCTGGTGTGCAGCACAACCCTGTGCACTTAAAACAACCCACTCATCCGATGGTAGGTGACGTGACGGTGGACACATGCACACACCTAGTTGCGGGTATAATAAAGTGCAGTATCATTGGACAAAATACTGTGACTATGTGTCCCAGCTCGCCCAGCTGCAAATGGGGACCTTGTGAAGATGAGAGTACCATGTGCTTGTGATAACCCGCCGCGCCTAACAGGCAGCATGAGTTGAATACTCCCCAGGGAGCTGAGTTACAAGATTGCCAGAAAAAAGACATCCGATAATCAAGGGAACACTCCAGCACCTTGAGCATGTACTAGTTGCGTGGATGTGTGATTGAGTCATCATCTATGAGAATATAGTGACATCCTGTCACACTAGAACATGTCCATGACAAAATCCTGCCATCTGAATGGTACCTTGAGCTTTTATGGGATATTAAACAGGGCATGGATGGCCCTTTTTTAAGAGAGATTGGAATGAGAGTACTTGATGATGATGATGATGATGATGATGATGGGATATTTATATAACGCACATATCTACACAACTAGCACATGCTCAAGGTGCTTAAAAGACTAAAAAAAGGTCACAAACCTTTTACGGAAAATCGCAAGAAAAATTGTCACAATGTCACAACAGAAGGAGTTGCTGTTGATCTTCATAACTGAGTTGTTGGTAGGGTAAATGAGAGCTCGAGACATACCCTTTTACCGAGAATTCAATTTCATGATACAATCATGAGATCAACTTACATTGTCACCCTCTGGTCAAGATATGGCTGAAATATTGCAGATGTCATGATACCTTGTAACTCACTATATTGTCACTCTATTATGAACAAACATGTGATGTTTTTGACATCAAACAGATCACAAAGTTTTGGAAATCTGTTAATCATTCTAAGTTGTAGCATCAGTAGCATCTAGTGTAATTGTACCTGATTTTACAGTAGCATGTCAGTTTAGTTTAGTTAAGTGTTCAGGCTCATGATGATTTGATGATTGCTTAGCTCGCTACAAAGATTACAGAGGTGTGTGTGACAACATGGATGTATCTACAGTGCTGTCTAACAGTAAGTGTGCCTTAGCCTGACCTGTGTGTGTGGTGTTTCAGGCTGTGAAGATGATTGCCCGGGAGCTATTCTGGGAGGTGATAGATGAGTTTGTGAGGGAGATCTCGACAGGGTATGTGCGGGCAGTGCAGCTGTACCTGGACGCCGGGAAGAAGACTGTGGAGGAGATTGTCGTCATCGGGACTGCCACGCTCATCAGGTAAGTCAGCGCTGTGCCGTTCACCATCTTTACCAATGTCCGGTCCGTACACTCCCAGACCTGGACATAACCCTTTCAGTGGGACATTCAGCTATCTCACATAAATTGTCAAAAGTTCCAGTGGATCTGGGACGGTCGGGTAGCCTAGTGGTTAAAGCATTCGCTCGTCACGCTGAAGACCCGGGTTCGATTCCCCACATGGGTACAATGTGTGAAGTCCATTTCTGGTGTCCCCTGCCGTGATATTGCTGGAATATTGCTAAAAGCGGCATAAAACCCCATTGTCAAAGTTTTCTATCCCAATCCCTGTGTTACAGACAGGTGTGTCAGGTATTTGTGATGTTACAGACAGGTGTGTCAGGTATTTGTGATGTTACAGACAGGTGTGTCAGGTATTTGTGATGTTACAGGCAGGTGTGTCAGGTATTTGTGATGTTACAGACAGGTGTATCAGGTGTATGTGATGTTACAAACAGGTGTGTCAGATGTTTGTGATGTTACCAGGGACTGGGAAAGGCAGGGGCTATGGGCCATTTTGCACATTAGAATAAAAAATGGCCCATTTAAATTTTGAAGTTTACTATTGATTCAAGGGCAGTGGCCCATTTTAAATTCAGAAAATAGCTAATAATCCTGAAAATGGCCCATTATGAAAGGTTACTATCCCAATCCCTGGGTTACAGACAGGTGTGTCAGGTATTTGTGATGTTACAGACAGGTGTGTCAGGTATTTGTGATGTTACAGACAGGTGTGTCAGGTATTGGTGTGTCAGGTATTTGTGATGTTACAGACAGGTGTGTCAGGTATTTGTGATGTTACAGACAGGTGTGTCAGGTATTTGTGATGTTACAGACAGGTGTGTCAGGTATTTGTGATGTTACAGACAGGTGTGTCAGGTATTTGTGATGTTACAGACAGGTGTGTCAGGTATTTGTGATGTTACAGACAGGTGTGTCAGGTATTTGTGATGTTACAGACAGGTGTATCAGGTGTATGTGATGTTACAGACAGGTGTATCAGGTATGTGTGATGTTACAGACAGGTGTGTCAGGTATTTGTGATGTAAACGAACAGGTGTGTCAGGTATTTGTGATGTTACAGACAGGTGTGTCAGGTATTTGTGATGTTACAGACAGGTGTGTCAGGTATTTGTGATGTTACAGACAGGTGTGTCAGGTATTTGTGATGTTACAGACAGGTGTGTCAGGTATTTGTGATGTTACAGACAGGTGTGTCAGGAGGTATTCGCAGAGGAGACAGAGCTGCAACAGCAGGTTTTGGCTGCTGAGCTGAAAGATCGTCAGTGTCGTGTGTCGGAGGACCTCTGCCAAGACTTGGTGGAGGATGTCACAAAGCAGGAAGCTCAGAGCCTCGCAGTCGCTCAAGTCAGGTGAGGGGCATTGGAGTATATTTAATATAGTCTTGCTTGTTCCATGATGGAACAGAAAAAGAGACGATATGTTCACAATTACAATTATTGTAGTATTTGTTTCAAGATGGTTTCTGTCATATTGTTTAATTTATTTAATGCCTGTTTAACATTCTTTGATCTAATGTTGCAAATGTACCAGAAAAATCCAGTTGAGGCAAAGTGTCTTGTGTTGGCTTATGTCATTGATGCTGCTTCCAGAGAGGTGCAAGCCCAGCTGAAGCAGGAGCGCGAGGAGAGATGTACAGCTGTGGTGGCGGATGATGTTGTGGAGAACACCCTGGAGAAGCTCATCCATGAGATCAGTGAAGAGGTCCATCGCGTTGATGTTGTCCAAAGACTTGCAAAACTGGAAGCCATTGAGAAGCAAGTGAAAACAATGCGTTCATGTCGCTTCCTCCAGATCTGGAAGAGGGAGCACGCTAAACGGGTGAAGCTGAAGCGTGCGATGTTGGCGTTCCCGTGTGCTCCGAGCACTCAGGATGTTCACTCGCAGCTGCAGACGCTGTTGCCAGATCGTAGCAGTGATAGAGTGGTTAACGGGAGGATGTATGTCAACCAGCAGGCAATGGTTGCCATAGAGACACCAATGGACATTGAGAAGCGAGACAAACTGTTCATTGCTAGACACTCCTTGATCATGCTGACCCATCGCCTGTTGAAGGAGAAGGCGTGGCAGCCGTTTGACATTCCTGCGGTTGCTGGGAAGGAGTTTGAAAAGAGTTTCCTCAAACAAAGGGATCCAGAGACACTTATTGCAGGTTTGTGGGGAGCTTGTATAAAACATTCCTAGGGTATGAACATTGATCTCTTTGCAGGGCATGACAAGGGGATCTCTTCTTACTATGGTATGACAAGGATCTCTACCAAGGGATCTCTTCTCTGGTATGACATTGGGATCTCTTCATAGGGTATGACATTGGGATCTCTTCATAGGGTATGACAAGAGGATCCCTTCACTGGATGGCATACAAGACAACCAGGGGTCTCTTCCCCCGAGTTACTGTGGCATGACAAGGGGATCTCTTCATACTATGGCATGACATTGACCAGGATCTCTGTCATAGGGTATGACAAGAGGATCCCTTCCCTGGGTATGACAAGGGATCTCTTCTTACTATGGCATGACAAGTTGTCCCGAGGTATGACCAGGGATCTTGTCCCAGAGTATGACAAGGGGATCTCTTCTCTGGGTATGACAAGGTGATCTCTTCCCAGGGTATGACTTCAAGGGGATCTCTTCATAGGGTATGACCAGAGGATCTCTACTTTAGTAACACCACAGAAGTGATTGATTCTCATGCTATTATATGGTGAATTGTCACTTAGTGACTTATATATTTTATGTTCCTACTGCATTCCCTCATACACTCACTCACTCATGACTTGATCTGCAGAGACAGCACCAGAGATAACATGGAAGCTGACTGTGTCGCTACCGGATGCAGCAGCAGCAAGTACAGCGGACACGGATGTTGCAGAGCTGGTGAACAAGTGGTTGTGTGCAAAGTTACAGAGAGGAGATGTACCTGACGAACCACATCTCAAGTACAGGGTCAGTACAGATATGCACTGGCATGGACTAGGATGTAAAACACAAAACCTCTCTCGCTGGCCCAGAGATGACTTTATTGCCTTCATTTAGATCTGTCTGACTGTAGAGATAATTCCAGATTCATTTCATGCTTAAAGGAACCTAGTTCATAATTTTGGTTTATAGTGTGTCATTATATCGATAACTTTCTTCATATTGTTGTAATATTGCTTAGTATGGCATTAAAATGTTCTTTTGTCCAGTATCTATATGTTGGTTGTTTTAGGGTGAGGTGTTGAGTTTGTACCATTCCAAGGTAAAGGGTCAAGGGAGACAACCCTTGCAGGTGGGTGTATGTGTGCGGACTGTAGTGGGAACTCTCAACAAGAAGGAGGTACAGAAGATGGAAGAGAAGCGCCTCCTGCTGGGCAGCGCAGGAATCCTCTTCGTCCTTCCTCCAGTGGAGGATAACCAATCCTACTGGAAGCAAGCCACGTCTCGGCTTGCAGGAGTTCTACATGCTAAACCCAAGTCTCCTGCACTACCATTGGTCATTGTTGTTCCTGAATCAGCCAATGGGAGCTTTTCTGTGAGTGAGCTTGTACAAAGACTGGAGATGGACAGTTTCCAGGATGACGGGCTGGTGTCGGAAGTGAACAAACTCTCCCTCCATGCAAGTGTTGCGGAGCTGGAGTCGGACCTCCCTCAAGCTGCTGACAGGGTGAGGACAGGCACCTTGTTCAACATCACATCGATATGTTTGAAATTCACATATATTAAGAAAGGTAAACACCATGGGTACTCCTTATTAGAATTGGTCCCCAGCAGCATGTGCAATTCGTAAGAGGTGACGTAATGGGTCAGGCTGTCAAACTTGGTTGACTGCATGTTAGTGAAACAACGAGGAATGACTGGATGGTCTTGTGTAGGGCTGAATATATGGGCCTCTGCTTACAGAGTTCCTGGATGGGTCCTAAGTTTGGAAAATCTAAATAGTAGGGCAAATGAGTTATAAAACTTTGTTGACATTTCCCCAAAAACTTGTTAGATATCAGCTCATGTGTATTGTGATTTCTGATTGGTTGACAGTTGTCTGAGAGTCTGGTGTGGCTGGTGGATCACATGGCGGAGTTGCCGACGCTGCTGAAGGCACGGGTAGATGACTACGTGGAGGAACTACTACTGCAGGAATACTTCACCCCTGTCCTGCGCAAGAAACCTCCAGGTGAGCCACAACAAGGAGAAACACACTCACTCACTGCACCAGGTGAGGAGGGAGGGCCACACAGTCACTCACTCACTCAATCAATCAATCAATCAATCAATTATTCAATGAATCTTACCAGCTTCCAACACCCTGCTCCATTATGTGCATGAGTGATGATTGACATGATGCAGATGTAGTTTTTAGCAGGGAATAATATTCAACCATTAGTTCAAGTAGTTTAAGGAAACTATTTCACCTTTTTGTAGTCAGCATGGATGTCTTGACTGACAGGGATAAAACAATGTTACCATGAATACATTAGATCATGCTGGAAGTAATTAGAACAGCACCACGATGTCAGTTCATTGTGACACTGCTCAAAAAGTATACTTTACTGCAGGAAGCACAGCCAGCACCCTCTGTGAAAACTGTGTACATCTGTTGGATGGTGTACTCTGCCTTCCATATCAGACTTGTGTCATATGTTACTGACTGTATGTTGCAGGCTCCGAACACCCTGATAACTCTCTACAACTGTGTAGTGGAGCATCTGGCTGAGGTGGCGTCGTCTGCTCATCTTACTGCCATCTCTTGTCCCATCCCTGAGTTTGTTTGGTGCTTCCAGAAAATAGGTAGGATAGTTTTGTTATTGCTCCATATTAGTAAATACAAACTTTTATGTAGTTACATCTGATATTTGGAGTCGGACCTCCCTCAAGCCACTGACAGGGTGAGTACAGGCACCTTGTTTAACATCACGTTGACGTGATAATATACAGTTTACAGAAATGTGACTGAAATAGATCCAAGATTAGATGATATGGATACGATATGAGATGGTAAGGATACGATGTGAGATGGTAAGGATGCGATGTGAGATGGTAAGGATGCGATGTGAGATGGTAAGGATACGATGTGAGATGGTAAGGATACGATGTGAGATGGTAAGGATACGATGTGAGATGGTATGAGATGTGAGATGGTAAGGATACGATGTGAGATGGTAAGGATACGATGTGAGATGGTAAGGATACGATGTGAGATGGTAAGGATGCGATGCGAGATACGATGTGAGATGGTAAGGATGCGATGTGAGATGGTAAGGATAATGTGAGATGTGATGTGAGATGGTAAGGATCTGATGTGAGATGGTAAGGATACGATGTGAGATGGTAAGGATACGATGTGAGATGGTAAGGATACGATGTGAGATGGTAAGGATACGATGTGAGATGGTAAGGATACGATGTGAGATGGTAAGGATACGATGTGAGATGGTAAGGATACTGATGTGAGATGGTAAGGATGATATGAGATGGTAAGGATACGATATGAGATGGTAAGGGTGCAATGTAGGATAATATGGATCCAATATAAGTTGGTCTGGACCGTCAAGTGATGTGTATGTTACAGAGTTGCCAGCCTCCCACTGGAACACCTCTGACCACCTGAGTCACCTGTATGAGGAGATCTCCATGCTTCAACTCCCTCGCTTCCGCTACTACAACTACCACAGCAACTCCTGGGAGCAGGTGTGCTCCGACGTGTGGGCCTTCGTCCAGGACGTGGTCAAGCAGAACAAGGGGAAGAACACTGTCCATCTTGCCACAAGGTAGGGGTCTTCCTGTGCACTTTCTCCACCTTATTCCACCGGGGTGGGGGTTCATGGGGTAGCCTATTGGTTATAGCATCCGCTTGTCATGCTATAGACCCGAGTTTGATGCCCCACATGGGTACAATATGTGAAGTCCATTTCTGGTGTCCCCTGTGGTGATATTGCTGGAATATTGCTAAAAGCGTTGTAAAACCATACTCACTCACTCACTCACTCACTCACTCACTCTCACTCACTCACTCACTCACTCACTCACTCACTCACCCCTCTGGACTATCCATTTTAAGTTGTTCAAAAAATGAATAATTGTAGCAGAAATACTGGTAATGTTAGGATTACTCTGCTACAAGTGACAGTAATGTTTCTTCACCTTCATAATACTGTACTCAACTTTCTAAGAGGATATTAACAGGTTTCTTTCAAAAGGATTGCATATAATACATCTGCAAAGTGAAGAAATATGTTGAAAGCCAAAATAAACTGCTTTTCTCTTTACATCGGTTAAAAAATAATTCAAGTCAACCTTGACCTTGCGAGACTCACCCATGGTGACTTTGTCTTCAGGATCAAGAGTTTACTGCAGAAGGTATGGGAGGAATTTAATGATGTGTGTTACCTGACTGAGGGGGAAGATAGGTGTGAACCCACCTATGTCAACATGCCCTGGACGGACGTCATCGACGCCTGCATCAACTACAGAATTTCCTGTCTCCCCATCATTGACAAACATTCACAGGAGGTGAGTACTTAGCATAAGTTCAAACTCTTGATGTCTGTGTGTCACTTGCTGTAGATTGATGACAAGTTGAAGTTTCAATTAGGGGTGTCGCGATACGCAAATGTATTGATGCATCGATACATTTTTACTGACGATACGATACGTGATACATGCTTGCGTGTATCGATTCCTATTTTAAAACTTTATCGATTCAAATTTTTATGCTATATTCATCTCCTTCAAAGTCTTGATAGTAAAGTTATACGAGACCGCTCTGATAAATAGATGTAGCTAGCTTTACTTAAAAAATAGGTTTGAAACTAACAGCTTTTGTGATTGGCTAGACTATTTTGATGGACCAATCAGCGAGCCGGTAAGGTAATGCTATGAAAAGGCGCGAAAATTATGTATGGCGATATGTATCGTATCGTGACCTTAAAATCGTGATACGTATCGTATCGTGAGATTGGTGTATCGTGACACCCCTAGTTTCAATTCTTCTAACTGAAAGACAAATATTAAAACAACCCGTTGTTCATTACCTTTTTTAGTTTATGTCTTCCTTGGTGACAGATGTGGGAATCAATTGAAACAACATAAAGAAACTGCTGGAAACTTTTTGTGATATTTGATTGGTTAACCAAGCGATGAGTTTTGCTTTTGTTTCGATAAAATAGAAAAAGAGATGGGTCACACCATGTGATGGACAGCTATTTGTTTTTTTATTGATACTAGATAGGTGGAGCTTGTTTTTGATTATTGTACTGAACAGTGTCGCTGATTGTCTACTTTTCTCTGTTAAATAAGTCTGTAAAGTATTGTTGCTGACATATTTCTTTACATACTTTAAAACAACAACAAAGTATGTATCATGGGCCCAAGGGCTCTTTATTGAATAAAATCTGTCTTTCTGTCTATTTCTTTACAACTTTTTGTGTTAATGGAAAAACGTGGAAACCTAAGCAGCCTTACAGTGTCCACAACATTTTTTATGATTATACCTCCATAAATGCAGAATATACAGAGGTCAGTTTTCAAATAATCTTGGCTTCATCACTCATACCTTCCCACAGAATTCTGCTGATCTAGGAGAGGAAGGGAAATGTTGCTTCACATTGCATTCAGTTGATCGAATCCCCCATGTTAAGCACCCTCTCCAACTGTCATGTGTCACATCTTTCACATTCTCCAACTGTTGTATCTCACGTCAGGACTCCATGTCTCAGCACCCTCTCCAACTGTCATGTGTCACATCTTTCACATTCTTCAGCTGCTGTATCTCACGTCCGGACTCCATGTCTCAGCACCCTCTCCAACTGTGATCTCTCACATTATGTCTGCTATGTTTCAGAACCCGCCCCGGGAGCTGGTCGTGTATTACTCAGAGGAAGAGTTTAATGACTTTGCCGTCCCCGAATCCTGGAAGGAAGCCATGTTTGACAGCAATATTGATTGTAAGTGGCAAATGAGTGATGGTTGAACAATGCACAGTCATCTGTTCCTAGTCATGTTAGAGGTTCAAGCATACTAAAGAAAATACGACTCTTTATCTGTTATTTCATGTCTGAAAATGTCCATAATAATATTTCAAAATTTTCCACAATAAATTTGACTTTCAACAAAGGGCTCTTATCATAACTCAGTCTTCGGCTTTTTATATTAAACATGTTCCAATCTTAATATCATTTGGTGACTTTGCTCCTTCAGAGCTGGACAACAACACTGATTTAAGACAATGTGCAATTTCTGTCTTGTGAAGGTCGTACAGTGATGGAGACTGTGGAGAAAGCCGTGGAGAAGAAGCATGAGAAGTGTGCTGCCAAGTCCGAGGAGGAAGAGATACCAGTCCTCATGACCATGACGGAGGGCTACTACGAGTCTGACAGTCTTCGGTCTCTGACGTCAAAGTGTTCCTCTCTCATGACCTCCATAGCAGCAGAGAAGGAAAAGGATCGCAAGTTTGAGAAGTACCTGGAGTCCTTGTTGCTGGATGGAAACATGGAGATGGATGGTGGGATGGATGGGAACTTCCTGCCCGTAGCATCAGGAGGAGCCTGTGACTGGTACCCTGTGTCAGGGGTGAAGACTCATCAGGTTCTGGGCAAGAATGGTGTGAAGGATCCAGAACCAGACCAAGATGTGGAAGCTGAACACTGTGAGGAGGATGCTGACATGACCATCGGTGGGAGAATGAACAGCCTGAAGGACAAGGTGGATGCCTTTAGACAGGAGAGTCAACTGTTTGAAAAGAGGCTGGAATTCTTGTTGAATTCTTGATGGAGGATTGAACCGATCAGCAGCCATGTGATGGTGGATGCAGAAGTTCCTGGCAGGAGAGGTGGTCAGATATCTGTGTCTTGTTCCAAGCTTTGACCGACACATGGATGGCTAATTCTCCGTGGGCATAGCAGAACATTATTCCATGTATGGACAAACTTCTGAATATGTAGTGCTTCTCACAGACACTTAGATCTTTGAAACAAAGTGCTGAATGGTATATTCTGGTACCGGTGCCTGAACATCTGTGGTGCATTTCCAATTTCAAAGATGTTGTTGCTAGAAACCATGTGCTGTTTAACCAATTGTACAGTTATCGAATCATGGCATTGTGAATTCATCGCATTATTTTCCTGATTCATGATCTCCTGAATGAACAAACATCACAATTTCACATAAATCATTGTCATGCTGTAATTTGTGTATATTTAATGAGGATTTAAATTTGCATCTGAAGAAATGTCAAACCGTTTTGTAATCAAGTCGAGGTGTTTGAGCCTTTGCAGAAAATACTTTGAAATTAAATTGTGTTGCATTCCATATTGTGTCTTTGTCTTCTATTTTTACAGTGATATAACTCCAGTGAAATGTAGTTGGAGTTGTATAATGGTTAAACGTTTGATTGCCAGATCAGCAGAATGTATGGAACATGTCTCTGGCCATATTGGACACGTATGTCTTTAAAGAAAAGAATCTGGCTTATGGAGTCTCAGGTTTGGTGTTGAATAGCTTCACCGTTACTGGTGCTTGTTGTAAGATCAGACTAAATGTGTAAAGGTGAAAACCATCCTACATTAGTGAAACGGGTGTTGTGCTGGAACAGTCGTGATGCTCCAGCACACCAGGTACATTCCACATGGGTGTTGTGATGGCACAGTCGTGATGCTCCAGCACCCCAGGTACATTCCACATGGGTGTTGTGATGGAACAGTCGTGATGCTCCAGCACACCAGGTACATTCCACATGGGTGTTGTGATGGAACAGTCGTGATGCTCCAGCACACCAGGTACGTTCCACATGGGTGTTGTGATGGAACAGTCGTGATGCTCCAGCACACCAGGTATTCACACCGGTGTTGTGATGAAACAGTCGTTGATGCCCATGGGTGTTGTGATGGAACAGTCGTGATGCTCCAGCACACCAGGTACGTTCCACACGGGTGTTGTGATGGAACAGTCGTGATGCTCCAGCACACCAGGTACGTTCCACATGGGTGTTGTGATGGAACAGTCGTGATGCTCCAGCACACCAGGCAACGCTCCACATGGTTGTTGTGATTGAACGTTCCAGCACACCAGGTACATTCCACATGGGTGTTGTGATGGAACAGTCGTGATGCTCCAGCACACCAGGTACGTTCCATACGTGTCGTGCTCCAGCACACCAGGTACGTTCCACATGTTGTGATGGAACAGTCGTGATGCTCCAGCACACCAGGTGCGTTCCACATGTTGTGATGAGAAACAGTCGTGATGCTCCAGCACACCAGGTGCGTTCCACACGGGTGTTGTGATGGAACAGTCGTGATGCTCCAGCACACCAGGTACGTTCCACATGGGTGTTGTGATGGAACAGTCGTGATGCTCCAGCACACCAGGTACGTTCCACATGGGTGTTGTGATGGAACAGTCGTGATGCTCCAGCACACCAGGTACGTTCCACATGGTTGTTGTGATTGAACAGTCGTGATGCTCCAGCACACCAGGTACATTCCACATGGGTGTTGTGATGGAACAGTCGCGGATGCTCCAGCACACCAGGTACGTTCCACATGTGTGTTGTGATGGAACAGTCGCGGATGCTCCAGCACACCAGGTAACGCTCCACATGGGTTTTGTGATGGAACAGTCGTGATGCTCCAGCACACCAGGCACGCTTCACATGGGTTTTGTGATGGAACAGTCGTGATGCTGCAGCACACCAGGTAATGTTCCACATGGGTTTGTGATGGAACAGTCGCGGATGCTCCAGCACACCAGGTACGCGTTCCACATGGGTGTTGTGATGGACTAGTCGTGATGCTCCAGCACACCAGGTACGTTCCACATGGGTGTTGTGATGGAACAGTCATGATGCTCCAGCACACCAGGTACATTCCACATGGGTTTTGTGATGGAACAGTCGTGATGCTCCAGCACACCAGGTACGTTCCACATGGGTGTTGTGATGGAACAGTCGTGATGCTCCAGCACACCAGGTACGTTCCACATGGGTGTTGTGATGGAACAGTCGTGATGCTCCAGCACACCAGGTACGTTCCACATGGGTGTTGTGATGGAACAGTCGTGATGCTCCAGCACACCAGGTACATTCCACATGGGTTTTGTGATGGAACAGTCGTGATGCTCCAGCACACCAGGTACTTTCCACATGTGTGTTGTGATGGAACAGTCGTGATGCTCCAGCACACCAGGTTCGTTCCACATGGGTTTTGTGATGGAACAGTCGTGATGCTCCAGCACACCAGTTACGTTCCACATGGGTGTTGTGATGGAACAGTCGTGATGCTCCAGCACACCAGGTACATTCCACATGGACCCTGTGATTCCTCTGTGAACGTGGGTAATATACACTTACAAAAAAGTAGGGGAACTTCATGTTTGATTTACAATAGAAAAAATAGGGGGATATATCGGAGTCAATCAATGTTTATTTGATAATAATGTATGTTTTAAGAGTGCATCACCACAAACACTTCCTTACATGACCATAGTTGTTTGTACAGTAATCGTTCATGAAAGATGATTGGTGTTTGACATGAAACTTGCATATGTACAGTTTTCATTTTCAAACAATGACACCTCATGCACGTGTTTTGGGCTACTGCGTTGTGCACCTGTATCCCATGAGTTGTGTTTTGGAGTGGTGATAAATGAAACGATGGTGCGTTCATAAAATGTCTGTCTTTGAAATGTTTGTTAGCTCTTATACTTCCTATTCAAATTGAAAGTTCAAGTTCCCCTACTTTTCGAGTAAATAATGGGTCGTTCTTGATTATGAGCATCAGCGACAGAACACCATTGGTATTGTTGACGGACGCCTAATGGCTATCAGCATGCCTCTCTTTGAGAAATAGTCAGTATGTTCAATGTCTCTGTCTGCGATTTGCAGACTTTGACACAGGTTTCTGCAGACACAAATCGTTAATGGTGGGTCTGGACAGGGCACCAGAGGTCATTAACAAGACCGCGGATCGATTGATTAGACCTAAACAATTATTGCCCAAACAAATGCCTTTTCACATGAGCGAAGACCAATGGAGTTCAGTCTGCAAACTCCATCACAAGTGTTCAACCCATGTTTACAAAAATTGGGGGAAAACGTATGACCTAGTGGAACTGTCTGGAGGCGTCCCTGGCATGAAGCCGGTATGAAAAATACAGAAGTTGTTGACCACACAAATACTTCTTGTCGACATAGTTACTACTGAAATCAAATCCTTATATATTCCGAAGAGTATAGAATCTAGATATGATAATCCGGATAAATTCATTCCGGTGTTTGTATTTAGGACAGGAGGGAGTATATTCGAAGGAATATCTGTGATGATTTTTGTATTCTGTTAATTTAGTCTTCACACACACAAGTGTTCCACCGAAATGAAAGATCTGGTTATAAGACACGGGTTGTAATGCTGACTAACAATCGGCCTCATATCGTGTTGTTTGCCCGGAAGGTAGAATATCACAAATACAGATGTATAAAGCATAGGCGGATCCGGGGTGTGGGGTGTTTTTTTTATTTATTTTTTGTGCTGAAAGTTTGTTAAATAACCATTGAAACTCTGGTGAAAATGAAGTGTGCACACACACCCACTCCCCTTCTCAAAAAGCTGTATCCGCCCCTGTACAGATGTGTTTTTCTCACACCGACGTTTCCACTACCTTTCTCTCCCACTGAAAAAACTTTAATGGATGTACATTATACAGAATCAGAAATCTTGCCCATTTCGGCTGATATTTTCAACATTTTAAAGGGGCATGAGGTTGCAAATTCATTTCTTACGCTGAGATCTTTGAACCAATTTATTTTTACACAAAATTATCCAGCCACAGACCACTTTTCAGAAAAATGCTCCGGGTACAAGTGATGGTTAGAAAAAAACAAAAAAGATTAAACAACAGTTGTTTCAAGTTTCACTGAGTTGAAATCAAACTGAGCATACTTTTGTTTGCCCCGCAGTTTACACCATTATGCATGTATGCATAAAGATCGAAAATAAAACAATATCAGATAAGAACATACACAATCATAATTACAGGAAACTATACTGAGTCAAAAAAGAAACTTCACATTCTTTCTTCAGGCCACTATAAAGGAACAAGAGATGGTAAGATGGTTAAATTGTTATTATTTCATTGCTGAGATCTGTGTGATGTACTCGATACACTGACAGTGCCATAATCAGTTCCATTAGGCTACACCGCTGTTCCAAAACATGGGTATACAGAATGTCAAGTCACAAGAATAGAAATGCGAAATTTCTCAGTTCAGTATCGTGAATGGCCGCCCCGTGCATTCACCACTGCCAAACACCGTCTCCTCATCGACTGCCTGATGCTTGTGAACACGTGGTTGGGGATTCTGCGCCATTTCTCTTGCAAGGCAGCGCCAAGTTCCTGCAAATTCTGAGGTTGGTTCCTAAGACCACGAAGCCTTCTCCCAAGTGCACCCCAAACGTGCTCTATTGGATTAAGGTCAGGGGACCTCGATGGCAAGTCCATGACGTTGATTCCAGCGTTTTGAAGGAAATTTCGTGTCAACATCGCGTCATGCGGCCGAGCATTATCATGCTGGAACTGTAGACCTGGGCCATGAGCCGCAATGAAAGGAACGAGTTCAGGGGTGAGCACCTGGTCGCGGCAAGCAGCAGCTGTGAGGTTTCCACGGATGACCAGAAGTCGGGAACGGTTGTTCCCACAGAAAGCACCCCACACCATGCAACTTCCGCCCCCGAATCTGTCGACTTCCTGTACACAACATTGGGCATACTGTTCACGACGTCGTCTCCAGACTCCATGCCTGCCGTCCGCGAATCTGAGGGTAAACCTGGATTCATCGCTAAAGACGACTCGATTCCAGTCTCTCTGGGTCCATCGGAGGTGACGTTGGGCCCACAGCAGACGTTGACGTTGATGAAACGGCGTCAGTATTGGCCCACGATATGGACGTCGAGAATGGAGATTGGCAGCCCGCAACCGATTTCGAATGGTCTGTGAGGACAGTCGACCTCTAAACATCTCAGCCCTGGTTCGTGTAGCCGGCAGAAATCTGTCACGTAGGTGACGTAGGACGATTTGACGGTCTTCTGCTCGTGACGTCACACGTGGACGACCCGACCTTGGGCGATCAGAAGTGGTGCCAGTTTGTTGTAGACGACCTCGCAAGTCATACACGGTACGACGGCTGCATCCCATTGCTCTTGCGACGTCAATAACTGATCTTCCCGCTTGCAACATGCCAACGGCACGTTCACGTTGCACATTTGACAATCGTGGCATTTCAAGTACCGTTAGAACTGTGGTTTAAAAGTGTTTTC